GATATCAGGTTAGAACAAATGGTCCAGGGGGGAATGTCATTGTACCATACTTGTAAAAGTCAACAAATAAATAGATTCTCCTGGATTTGTGATCTCAAACTAATTAGCCATGCTGTTGGTCTAGCTAAGGGGTGGAGTGGGAAGGGTGGGGGGACAGAAAAGTTGTTGAAACAAAATAAAATCAAGGGTGATCTTATATGTTAAACTCATTGGTTTCCATATGTGCTATAGCAGTGCAAGTTTTCAATAATTAGCTTAAAGCTAGTAATCATTCCTACCAAAGTTTCAGAAAGTAAAATGATGGTAGACACTGCGGATGCCCTGCCATCTTCCTGTTCCCCGGCAGTCCTTCAACAGCCACATTGCCATTTATTTGCTTGAAGACTACTTGATAATCAAGTCTACCCTGCCTGGGTACACAGGTTTCATTAAATTTCTGAGGAGCAGCCTTTGACCCCTGACTGATGGAGGGTAGTGAATCCATCTGCTCCTATGTACTTCATGTAATCTAGCCCTTTTGCTATGCAGATGGGATCAATCTTGAGTTATACATTCTACATGGTCTCCCAGAATTCCCTATTGAGATTAAGCTCAAGTTTGCCCCAATGGTAATTTGCTAGATAATATACCCTTTATAGGTTGCCTTCCCTTTCATGATACATTCCAAACTCACTTCCTGTGACCACCTCCAAATAAACTATGTGCACTCACACCCCAGACTCAATGTCTTTTTACATGGAACTCAAACTAAGGCATATGTTTAGCTTAATTATTTTTGGTAGGGCCTGACCTAACTCTAGATATGGGTTAAAACATTGTTTTAAGTACCAATTTCTCATCTTATTTTAAATCAGATGTTTTTGGCAATTTTTATTAAATGTAAAAAATAATTTGATAATGATAAGTTATTGACTTTTAAATATTTTTTGGAACCACACAGAAAGTGGAATCGGGCACCTTTATTTCAGAACACTATTTTTTGCATACTCAATTATTATAATGGATTAATAATATTATTTGCCATGAGTAAAGAAGAGACTTGAAAAAAATGCAAAGACAAAGCAAAAATTCAGTTACAGTAAAAACTTAAAGCTAACCTAATAGGTTAGAGGTGAAAGAACCTTTCTCTATAGATTTACTCTGTTTCCTGTAAGAAAACACACACACACACACACACACACACACACACACACACACACACACACTTTAGTACTCCAAGGAAATAAGTGACTGTGTTTGGGTCTTCATGCATTTTCAATTTGGCTGGCTCTGTCAGTGGGATGTGAACAAATGAGAAACAGTAGAGGAGAAAGGAATACAGAGCTGAGGCAACGGGCAAGTAGAAACTGTTCTATTATGTGCTGTCAGGCTCGAGTGTGAATAGGGCTGCACCTGGAGGAAGAGAAAAAAGGAAGCATTCATCCATCTCTCCTCACGTGGGAAGCCAGATAGGGCAGGGGGGCTGTCCTGTCAAGAGAATGATTCAGGAGTCCTTTCTCACTGAAGATTAATCATACCAAAGGGCAGGGGTAAAGAATACCCTGCTCTATTTGCTTCCCAATCTCTCCCCTCTGCCTGGGTCCCAAATGACTCTATTTTCTTACTTCGAGATATTGGTGGAGCAGAGCTGCTGAAAGGTCCGAGACATCTGGGAGATGAATCACTCCATGCAGAAATGGAACAATTAGCTGGTTTAGTCCAGCACAAAGGCCTTGAGAGGTGTCTAATTGAGTGGCCCTCACAGAGCCAGGAAACAATGTGGATTTGAAAATTATCCCACAATTAATTTCTGCATTGACCTAATGGGCATAATCTGTTAATGTGTATAGAGTCCAGAGTGGGCCCTTTTCCATGATGGGCATGGATTTAAAGTGCATGCATTTTCTGTTTGGGCATGCTTGGATGAGTGCTTGAAAAGTAAAAGAGATGTAGTTAAATGCAAGCTTTTTTTTTTTTTTGGTAGGCCATTATTATATCTGTGATCATCTATAATAATAAAAGCATAATATGCTAATTAGATTGGACAGCTGAACAACTTTCCAGACGTCCTTCCAGACGACCTTCGGGATGAAGCCAGGGCTGCGAGGGCCGAGCCCTTGCATGAATTTCGTGCATCAGACCTCTAGTTTAAACATAAAACAAGACATTCTGGCATGCTTTAGGCCACACAGTTCTCCAAAACATCAGATTTAGAATTAGACATTGGCAGTCAACTTATTTAGAACCATTAGAATATTTAACAAAAATCACACTGACTTAGGACAATTTTAGAAATAGAAAGAAGGTAAAAGTGTTAAAAAAAAAAAACCACCACCAACATACTTTTATTCAAAAAATAAGAACAGATTATATCATACAGACTCTTTTGTCCAGGAAAAAAAAAAACTCACTTCCTTGTAGATGCTAAAAATACATTAACTACAAATGCTTATGTGTGATTGTGCTATAGACTCCTTTTCCCCTGGCTCCCAGATCATTAGTAGTATTTTTGTTAATTTTGGTATTTTAAAGAAGAAATTATAGTTATTTTCTCAAATGGAGTAATTGAAGGAATCTAAGGAAGCATGACCTTTTAGAATAATAATAATAATTTATCACTCTAATTAAACTGGCATTTTCATAATAATAAATTATATTCTAGATAGGAGTTGTGCTTAGATTTTATCTCTACTCTTTTCTCTTATTTTTTTTTTTATTCCCAAGCAAGCAGACTGTGTGAGAACAGACACTGAAATACTTGGTATCAGAGTTCTTGTGTGGAAAAGTCAGGGAGTAAAAGGAATTGATTCAAGGAGCCCTTCCTGCCCTGAATTCAATGATGCCATAAGCTGCTATAATATTCACAAAGCTAACAAAGTCACATGAAAAGTCAAATGCACTAAACTAAGCACAAATCTCCTATTTCTTCTATTGCCTGCAGGGGAAGGAGCTTTTCTTCAGGACTGTATTCTCGTGGCTCCATTATCAGGCTCCAGGCTGTGGTGTGTAGCAAAGGGGAGAGTGAGATTGGCTTTCATAGTGTTGGAGATCCCATCACTTGAGCAGGGCTGGCTCTACAGGGGAAATAAAGGAAAGAAGATTGTGTGCCTAAATAAGAAGGACAGTTCCTCTGCCAGGAAACAAAGGGTTACAAAAAGACAGGGATGTCAAGAGTAAAAATGACTTAGGAATGGGTGTATCATCCATGTGTCTGTCTCTTTTGGTGCACCACTGTACCTCAGTGGATCCAGCAAAATGTCTGGGACATGGTGGGCATTTCGGTAAATGTCAGATAAGTGAATGTGGGCTTCTGTGTCAACACAGCCCCTTGACCTAAAGCAGAGCTGAGATCAAAGTGGTCCAGAGAGAGGCCCTAAAGATGTACACAACTGAGAGAGCTGTGTATGAATTGCTATTGCAAACCTAGAGTTTGCATTTATATGCATAGTCTTTCAACTTCTACCTCAGTTTCCAGTGATATCAGACAGTAACTGCTCAATTCAGGCAACAACACAAGTCAAATTTGTTGTTTATTACATCAAAGGATCAGCTCAAACTTGATCACTGGTCACTAAGCTGGTTTTGAGTGTATACAGAACTGGAAAACCCAAAATATTTACTGGTGTAGATACTCAAAAGTAAAGAAAGTAGAGTAATAGGGAACTAAATTTTCATTATATTTTTGATCAACCATACCATTGCTTTTTGTGCTGATGGATAAAAGACTTCAAATTACTAGCAACAGAATAGCTGCTTCTATATATAGAATATCTAATAGTTCTACGAAATGTTCATTATCTTTTTTCTCTGAGAGAAGGTATGAAAACTCTGTAAGTGTTCATCTTAATTGCTCAGTAATCAATATCATAATTCTAAACATCTCTAAAAGAGCTCCTTAAAGCCAATAATTATGCAAAGAAATGCATATTTTACAAAGTTATTTCCCTTATAATAAAATGGAGGGAAAAGATCATCTTGCTGGAAAAGTTGGAATTGATAGACCAACTGACTAATAGGTGCCATGTGGAAATTCTTATTCTTTCTTTAAGAGATGGTGTGCATTCAAACAGCCATATCTTTTAAAAAATATATATTTGTATTGATTTCATTGAAAGGAAGAGAGAGATAGGAGCATCAATGATGAAGAATCATTGATCGGCTGCCTCCTGCATGCCCCACACTAGAGATCAAGCCCACAACCTAGGCATGTGCTCTGACCGGGAATCAAACCGTGATCTCCTGGTTCATAGGTCGACTCTCAACCACTGAACCATGCCTGTCTGGCCATGCATATCTTTAATAGTTTCATGATCCTTATGTGATAGTATAAAGTAGCTTCCAACATTTACTCCTGATACTACAAATGCATCCTTAGTCCTTTGACCCTAGGTTAGCACATTTTCTCCCTGGATATTCTAAAGAATTATGTCTGAGCTTTGAAATTGGAACCAAATGAGCAGTCCTCATAGCTTCAAGGGAAACAGGGAATGGTTCTCCTTACTATTAAAGTACCTTTATGACATCTTCTCACAGTTATTAGTGAAATAAAGACTCATTCTTTTCACCAGAGGCACCTCCTATCTGACCCCCATATGTCTTTCCAGGGGAGAAGCCCACTCCTGTATAGTCATGCTCCTAGGGTTTCACATTACTCTTGGTTAAGCTTAATTTATTGTTCTTCTCACAGTGAACCCCATTGGTTAGCAGAAGCCTTTTTTATGTTAGGACTAGAGGCCCGGTGCACAGATTCATACACCAGTGGGTTCCCTCAGCCTGGCCTGTGGGGATCAGACCGAAACTGGCTCTCTGACAGCTCCCGAGAGGTCCCGGATTGTGAGAGGGCAGTTCTTGGGTGACGCACCCTGGAATCGGGCTCCTTCCTCTCTGGTTCTGGGTGCATCACCCAAGAACCACAGCTGCCAAGTCACCGCAGCTTGGCAGCTCCTGCATTGAGCATTGCCCCCTGGTGGTCATTGTGCGTCATAGCTACTGTCAGACAGTCAAACAGTTGGACAGCCGAAACCAGTTTGGCTCAGTGGATAGAGCGTCAGCCGGCGGACTCAAGGGTCCCAGGTTCGATTCCAGTCAAGGGTATGTACCTTGGTTGCGGGCACATCCCCAGTAGGGGGTGTGCAAGAGGCAGCTGACCGATGTTTCTCTCTCATCGATGTTTCTAACTCTCTATCCCTCTCTCTTCCTCTCTGTAAAAAAATCAATAAAATATATTTAAAAAAACAAAAACAAAAAAAACAGTTGGACAGTCGATTGGGCTTTTTATATATATAGATCTGTGATCGAGGTAGTCCTCAAACACTAGAGTTTGACACTGGCCATAATAATAATAAGAAATCTACTGGTATTTATATATTTGTCTCTGAAAATCAGATGGTTGGTTCAGTACATTCATATACCTGTACATTCTGACCCTGGGAAGTAGTTTATTTACTGGAAATATCAGTACATCCAAGTCAGATAGAAGAAATTGACTAACTTAATCACTGAATAAGGATTCTGTTTCTGAAATGTCCAAAAAGAACATAAGAAAACTGATAGGTGGTTTGCTCACCATGTGGCTTGGTTGTGGCTATGTGCTGAAGGAAGGCTATCTCTATGAGATGAGACATAAAATCTAACAGATTTCCTCATAAGGATAAACATTGCATCTCATTCTTTATCATGAAATGGTAGACATGCAGATATATGATTTATTGATCATACAATAGTACTTTACTTTAAGGTTGCCTAATATAGTTATTTTGATCTATGATAAGGCCATTCCAGTTGTCACTCTTCCTTAGTTACAGAAATATATGCTCTTAGTTTACCCAACAATGATTTGACCTATGACCTTTGAGTCAGCCCAGCTTTGGGATCACGATCCTTATAGAATGTCAATGGAAAGTGAGGAAAGAAGGAAAGTAGAATATTTATTGCTTCCCACTTGAATGTGAGATTTCAAAGGGGCAGGTGAGAATTCTTTCTTTAGTTTGAATTTCCAGTTCTCCTATTCGTTCCCCAAATTACTACACTTTGAAGATGTTCTACAATAGTCCGTTATTTTCTGCGATATGTGCTTTTGCTTGTTACTGCAAGTAGTGCTTTGTTTTCTAAGTGGAACAATATTGGGGTGGGGCAAAGAAAAACAAGACATATGCATTGTGATTGAAATCATATCTTTCTCTTCGCAGAATGAAACTCAAGCAGGTGCATGCTGATCCAGACCTCACTTTCATCCAAGTATTAAGGCACTCCTTCCATTTTTTTGCTATTTACTTCTGTATGGATGACACAGAGTCACTTTGGGATCAACAGGGGTGAATCCGGATTTAATTCTCCCCTACACCTGCTGTTTTCTCTTGCCCTCTGCATTAAGCAAATTTATTGCATGTATAACATAAAATACACTATGCTAGAAGTTGGGGAGACATATATGGGAATTGTGATTTCCTGAAGAGACAAGTACTTGGAAAACTAGAGATCTGGCTTTCCCAGAAATATAAAACCATGTACAAAGTTACCATGGCACAAATGGTTATTCAGTAATAGAAAAATAAAGAAGTTCAGTGGGATTAGAAAGAAGAAGCTATGTGAGGTTGATTAGTATGGCAAAAGAAAGTGTGGACTAAAATGTTGAAGGTCCAGAAATGGCCTCATACAATATTTGAATTTAAAATGCAGGTCTTGGTGAAGTTGAGGGTTAAACTTGTTAGGACAATGGTTAACATAGGCAGAGGAACTTCCAATGACAATTGTAAAACTAACATACATATCAAGGTGAAATCATGATTTCAGCATTCAAACAATGTTAGTAGAAAACAAAGCTGAGAAATATTCATGAAATAGGGGAAAACACTAAATGAATGGTCATATGTGAAGTGTAAAAGAAAGAGAATATTGAATTGACTGAGTCTTAGTGCCATTCTCTTCCTCCCATGGAATTCAAAGTCATCTTTTACTTCCTCTCTATCTTACATTCTAGGAGCTATTGATGACACCCCAATGTCTACTGAATAAAAGCCAAATTCCCTGTTTTGTTGTAGAAAATGCTGTTGGTGCTCTTTCCATGCTCCTCTCCCACTGACTTTGCCATTTCAGAGCATGAATAACAAATACTAGTCTCTGTATTTTTTTGTCTGAAAGCTTTTTCCTGGCCACCAGAGCTATCTTTGCTGGTGCACATGGGAAAGTGGAAATGCCAAGGAATTAGCACTTCCTAAGAAGGAATACTCAACGAATTACTGAAGATTGGTAAACAATATAACAACCAGTCCCTTCACCCCTCAGGAGCAATATACTTGAGGAACACATTCAGCATTGTTTCTCAGAGTTCCCCTGTGAGATTAAGCTCTAGATGCCCAGAGCAGTTTAGTAAATCTTTCTATAGTGGCTACCTCTTCTTCCCAGTCTTATTTCCCCACTTTATCATTACTGTTTCACTTTATTACTGGATCACTTTTTAAATAAACCACTTGCACCTGAAGAGTTTTGTGATCATCCTTCTCTGTAGGCAAGAACTTACCGGGGGAATTGTAGTAGCTCATTTGGGAAATGCAAATACAATGGAGGTAATTAGATCTAGGAGTAGCAGGGCCATTTCAGACCTCAGGCAGCATGTGAGAACTAAAAGCAAGGAAGGCATGGTTGCTGTACTGGACAGCAGATCAAAGCAGCATTCAGAATGGTCTGATTCACGGTGGTTAGTGGCATTGTATAGTTGATTATGTTTCTTGAAGTGACATAGATAAAAAGCCACTCGATTCTTACTTGATCTGTATAAGCAGCAAAGTTCTAGGTTAAATGCACAGAAATCTAACTTGAATGATATAAACAGAGTCACAGTTCCAAAATCAGTTCTCAGACTTAAGCCAGTTTATAGAGCCACATCTCTTGAATGAAAGAGAGATCGAGTCCTACTGAGGTAGGACCCTGGTATATGGTCAACATTTATACTAAGCTTTCAGCTTTCTCTGAAGGCACTGATAGACTTTGACCAGAGTGGCTGAAAAGAATAATCACATATTTGGGCAACTACTGGACTCTGCCTCTGAACTATTGCTAATTCTAGGAGACCCACAAGATCAGTCCAGTCCACCAGAGGAGGGTTTATTGAGTTAGATGATCCATGGAGTTTTAGCTCAGCTCTATCTCACAGCTGGCTCAGTGGGTTCCTGAACACATCCTAAGGTTATTTCCCCAGTTCTAGAAGGCATAATTAGAAAATGCAAACTCAGCAACAGGGAGAATCCCAATACTGGTTCTCTGAACTGTAGAGTGAGGGCTATCGTGGGAGGAAAGGCCAAGTGGAGGCTACTGTCTCAACCTAGGAAAATAGTGAACAGAAGCAATACTGCATTCCTGAGGGATCACAGAGATTAGCGCCATCATCAAGGACATGAAAGATGAAGTAGGATGATTCCCATCAGATCCCCATTCAACTCTCATGTTTGGTTTGTGAATTGTAATAGACTTACTCATGTAGTGACTCCAATTACAGCTGCTGTATAAGATGTGGTTTCATTACTTGAGCAAATTCACACATCAGTATGCACCTACTGATCTGGCAAAATTTTTTTTCTGCATCTTTGTCAGTAAGGACCACCTGAAGCAGTTTGCTGAGAAAGCCAGACTACACCTTTACTGTTCTACCTCAGGGATAAATCCACCCTCTAGGCCTGTGTCTAATTTAGTTAACAGACATCTGAATCACCTATCTCTTGCAGAAAACATCACACTGGGCCATTATATTGATGACATTATGCTGATTGGACCAAGTAAGCAAGAAACAACAACTGCTCGACTTATTAGTAAGATATTTGTGTGTCAGAGGGTACAAAATAAATCTAACTAAAATTCAGGGTACTTCTATCTCAGTCTTATTTTCTAGGGGTCTAGAGGTATGGGGATGTCAAGATATCCCTTCTAAGGTAAATCATAAGTTGTTGCATTGGCTCCCCCAAAACCAAAAAAGAGGTGTAATACCTAGTGGGACTCTGGATTTTTAGAGGCAACATACTCCTTATTTTGGTGTGTTACTGAGTTACCTGAAAAGAGGCTAGTTTTGAGTGGGATCCAGAAAAGGAGACAACTCTGCAATAGTTCCAGGCTGCTGTGCTAGCTGCTCAGCCACTTGGGCATTGGATTCAGCAGATCCAATGGTGCTTAGAGTGGCAGATGCAGTTAGGGGTACTGTTTGGAACCTATGAGTGAATCACAGAACAGGCCCAGAAGATTTGGAGCAAACACTTTCCATGCCTTTCTCCGTGGATAATTTTTTTTTTAAACAGCTGGTGGCCTGTTTCTGGACTTCATTAGAGACTGAATGCTTGATCAGAGGCACCAAGTTGCCATGTAACCTGAGATGCTCATCACAAACTGGGTATTATCTGACACACCAAACCATAAAGTTGGATGTGCACAGCAACACTACATCATCAAATAAAACTGGACCTGAGCAGGCCCTGCACAAGTAAGTTACATGAAGAAGTGGCCAAATGCTCATGGTCCCACTCTCTACCAGTCTGTACCTGTTGCCTCATGAAGAGTGCTCTACATTCGCTTGACTGAGGAAGAGAAGACTTGGGCCTGGTTTACAGGTGGTTCCACATGATGTGAACCATCATGTAGCTATAGCACTACAGCCTTTTTCTATATCCCCAAACGATAATCGTAAAGGGAAATCTTTCTGGTGGGTAGACATTTGAGCAGTGCACCTGGTTTTTCACTTTGCTTGGAAGGAGAAATTTCTAGATGTGAGATTGTTCATTAATAGAATGTCACCAGTGATTTGATTGGATGGCCAGGGACTTAGAAAAAACATAAATATAAAATTGTTGATAAGGTAGTTTGGAGAAGAAGGATATATAAATATCTCTTAATGTACAAAGATGTGAAGATGTTTATGCTCCATATGAATGCCCATCAAACATTAACTTCAACAGAGGAGGATTTTATTAATCAAGTAGATAAGATGACCCATTGTGTGAATACTTGTCAGCCTCTTTCCCAACCACATCTGTCATCACTCAATTGACTCATGAACAAAGTGGCCATGGTGGCAGGATGGAGAGTATGCATGGGCTCAGCAACATGGATTC